TCTTTTTGGCCATCCAGTTAATTACAGTTTCCAATAATTCCTAATTGGCAAGCTCTGTTGCTTGGAGGAGCAGAGAAAAGATATAAACACTTGAGAAATATAACTTGGGTAGCCTACGTTTCGATCCCTGTATCGCACACTATGCTGTTGAAATAAACTCTGCTCCAAATAATCTATGGAGGACTTGGTCTAGATTCGAATTCAGAATTTTCTTCTAATACCAGCCTATCTTTCCAGAAGTCCTTATGAATGCACTGTTTGAAATCTTACCATTTGGTGCCATGTCTTTAGAAAGAAAATGTTATGTGCAATAATAATAATACAAAACATGTCTGGCCTTCCTCCTAAGCATAGTTTCCCAATACATTCATGACCGGGATTTCCTGTAAAAAATTTCAGTATTCTGATTACACAATAAGATAAGAAATGTGGTGCAAATATGGTGAGATAGCTATATATGTGTGTTTGTGTGTTAGTCAGATAGATAGACAGACCGACAGACATAGATAGACAGTGCAAAACGAAAATGTAAAGACAGTATCACCAAATTTAGACTCTGCAATGTGATTCATTATACCTCTCCATGTCTTTCTGTCCTTGCAAACATGTCTTTCATCTTTCAACATACTGCTATGTATGTATGTATGTATGTATGTATGTATGTATGTATGTATGTAATATACTCACTGATGCTCTTCATTTAATCAATCTACCAGCCTACTGTCTCCCAAAATGAAAATTATCCAACACTTGTGACATTTTGTTCATGAAATTCCTTTCCCAGAGATTGTTTAGCTTGGTTTTTTTTATAAATTTTAAGGCTCAATCAAGAGCTTGTAATAATAATCAATAATGTTCTTAGGCATTATTATTATCCTTTACTTTTACTGCACATTCATTCATAGGTCATACAGTTTCCTTTTCAGACTAAACAGTATTGTGAAAAGCATAGAAAAGGACTAAAAATAATAAGCAAAAGAAATTAAAGACATGAGATAAGAAAAAGGAAAGGAAATACAGCTAAATCTAAACCTCTCCATCCAAAGTTTGCATGCAAAAGCAAACACAAGAAAAAGATCAATAGTACAATAAATATAATTTAAAAACTGCAATAAAATTTTGATACAATTAATCATTAATAGCATAAGACAGGAATCAGATGATTTCTAAGAGCTATAGTTAGCGATAATTTTTTTGTGACTTTCTTAGATGTTTCTGAAAAGTGATCACCCAAAAAGAAGAGTAATGACCCCCTGGTCACAATGGCCATTAAAGATCCTAACAATTATACCTTTTTTTACATTGTGAACTGTTTGTGTTTCCACCAAGTTGCTTCCTACAGCATATATTTTTTCTGTTAAAACTTCCGTTAAACCTCATCAATTCCATCCAATTGCTATTTCTCATTTCTCAACCTATTCATTCATTTAATCCTCATTCATTCTCTTTATTCATTTGACAATTAATTGTCAAACTGTCATTGTGATTTGACAGGGAAGATATCAAAGTGATGGATAGCTTCTGCCTTTTAGGCTCAACCTTCAACAATAAGCGAAAAAGCAATCAAGAAATAGGCACAAGCCAGCACTGGATAGAACAGCCATAAAGCCCTTGGAAAAGTAATTCAAATACTGTGGTCATGACTATACCAAAATTATGCAAGCTACAGAATTCTCAGTGACATTATGGAAGTAAAAGTTGGATTTTGGCCAGCCAAGGAAACAAACCAATGGATTATCGAACAAATCTACTCAAGAGTTTTCACTCAAGGCACAAATCATCAGGGTCAAATTATCCTACTTTGGACACATCCTGCAAAGCTTCAACTCTCTGGAAAAGATCAAAGGAAAGAAGAGGTCAACCAGTAGCGGATGGATTCTGTTACAAAGGAAATGAGTGTACCATTGGGAGCCCTGAAAGAACAGGTTAGAGAAGCATCCTCATAGAGAAGATCTATCTATGGAGTTGCCAGGAGTCGAGAATGACTTAATGACATATAAAAAAGATCAATTGATCTCTTTATATGAGAAAAAAAATCCACAACATACTTCCTTGGCACTGGTTACTCACCAGTATTCGTATTTAATCCTCAACCATTCAGGCAATTTTTGCACAGATTCATCTTGCACAACAACTGTGTCTTTTGGGGGGTTAGCAGACCATTCACTCAATAATTCATGCCTTAGCTATCTCTTATTTGGACTAATGCAATGGCCTTTAAATAGACGGCTCTTAAATACAGCATTATCTAGTCCAGAATGAAGCCATGAAAATATTACACTGGTACTCTTCAATGTATTTATTAAATGGCTCTATTTTGTTAACTAGTTACTAACTAGTTTCTGGGAGCAATTCAAAAGGCTACACCTATATAAGACCCAACCCTAGATATTTAGGAATTGCTGAGTTCCAATAGTTTTTGTCCACCCTTGGTATGCCCTGGGTTCTATAAAACAAAATAATGTCATTCTTATGAGAGCTTAGGGACATGCCTTATCTATTGTTGAACCTGTTCTTTGGTATTCCCGCTGGTCTGTTTCTCTCTGACCCAGCTGACCTTCCAAAAAAACCTGTAAAAGCCTGGTTATTTAAAGAGGCCCAGGCTATGATCATTTGTAATATGAATATGTTATTTTCAATTTCTACATTCCTTACTGTAATGCTATTATATTACAGTACTTACTCCTGTATGGTTTGCTACCTTGCTTATTAGGCAGCTTTTACGCAAAAGTCAAAATTTATTAAGAGTTTGGAAAAAGAAAACACCCTATCACTACCTAAAGATAGCACTGCAAGAAGTTTTCTCCACACTCCACATTAGCAAAATATCCTAGATAGACCCCATGGTTGGTGGCATGAAATATAGAGCGTTCAATAGTAACCCACTCTCTTTACCATTCTTAGTAACTCTAATAAGAATTTGAAAACCGACAGTCCCTACGTTAATATAAAATGAACAATTTTGGTCAGCAAAATCAAGATAGCTTAACTGTTCTGTTTCTTCATGTATCTGTTCTTTTTATCTTTTACCCTATTTTCCATACCTTGAATAATATCATACTTTTTCTCTTCTATGGTTTGGCTATCATCAAAACAAGAGTGTTTTCCCACCAAATATCTAAATATTACTTGGTATCCTGGCCCTGTTATTTTAGATCTAGGAAGTATTTCTTCTAATATGGTCAATGTGCCTCATTCCAGATATATAATTACTACTGTATTTATCTTCACATCTACAACTTTGGCTGACAAACTGTTTTTTTTCTGTTCAATCGTTCTCAGACTGCCTGGACAAGTCTCTGCAGTTTTCTTGGAAAGGTTTTTCAGAAGTGGAAAGGTTTTTCAGCATCCGCCCCGCTTTAAGCCTCTTGCCATTTCCTCCTTCCTAGGGTTGAGACAAAGTGACTGGCTCAAGGACACCCAGGTGGCTTTGTGCCTAAGCCCTAAGGCAAAACTAGAACTCACAGTCTCCTGGTTTCTAGTATGGTGCTTTCATAATTAAAAGCTAAACCCAAGGAAAAGGTGAAAGATAGGCCAACTAAAGAACTTTTCATTAACTGAATGCCAATCCAGATTGATAGATTCAGTGTTAGCACATTATTCAAACTATTGAATTATATTCTAAGCTACAAGCTGTATGCATGCAACCTCTCGTTTGTTTACATTTGGTATGACATGCAAACCCAGATAACTTTATAATTCAATGAACCATGGTTAAGGTAACCAGAGATGTGAGCAAAGAATGAGCAGCGAGCAAGTGCTTCAATTCCAGAGCACCCATCACACTACAAGGTAGGGCATTTGTCCAATATATTCTAGGCAAGAAGGCAAATGTTATGTGATCAATGCATATTAATCTGTAATCCTTTCTAATCAAGACAGACTTACAGGTAGTCCCCAATGTATGACCATAACTGAGCCCAAAATTTACATTGCTAAGTGAGACATTTGTTGAGTTTTGCCCCATTTTATGACTTTTCTTGCCACATTTGTTAAGTGAATCTTAAAATTAGTAATAAGCTTGTTATGTGAATCTGATTTCCTCATTGGTTTTGCTTGTCAGAAGGTCGCTAAAGGGGATCATAAGACTCTGGGACATTGCAACCATCATAAATGTGATGTTCAGTTGCCAGGCATCCAAATGTAAATCACACGGCCATACAATGGTTGTAAGTGTGAAAAATGGTCACAAGTCACTTTTTTCCCAGCGCTGTTATAACTTTGAACGGTCTACTAAATGAAGTACTTGCAAGTTCGAAGACTGCTTTGCACTGCCATTCTTTTATTATTACGTTCTCATTCGTTTTTACTAATAACAATTTTTCAAAGGAGACTTTGTCCTTTTCGCGGGCCTTTCTCTCTCTCTTAAGATGCCAAGAAGACTCCTGGTGTTTAGCTTTCTCATTTTTTCATCCTTTATTCAACCCCCCACCCCCGATCTTCTCCTAAACACCGAAGTCGGGAGTTGAAAACGCCCTCGCTTGAAACCGCTCCGTTGGGAAACGAGCCTTGACATCCCAAGTCATCCAGGCAATTTTGCATGGCTGAAGGTGCAGCCCTGCTCACACACACACACACACCTCGACCCGTTCCCACCAACGGAGGGACGGTCCAGCCCGCCACTCCCACTCCTCCGGGCGGAGGAGGATGGGCTTCGGAATTCCACCCGCCAGGCAAGCTGGATCCTCGATCCGCCCTCCCCAGCCTTGGGCGAGGCTCATTGGTCGATGACCTTGAACCGATCGACTTCTTCTCCGACCTACTCGGGGTGGGGGGGAGGCAGTAGTAACTCCTTCCAAAGAAACGAGACCCAAAGGGGGATCCCAGAAGGATCCGAGAACGGGGAAGAGTCCGCTTCCAGACCTCTCGGACGACCACCATCCTCCCAGATCTCTCCCCCCCGCCCGGGATCCATCCATCCATCCCACTCGCCTGCGACCCTGTAGGCTGAGTGGGGGAACTCTCTCAAACAGGACAGCGGTCTCTCTCTCTTCGCTTACTTAACTGGGAGGGTGTCCTCCAGGGTCTTGAACTCTTTCTTCCTCAGCCCTCCCGGCTCCCAAGCGGCGAAGAGGTGGGTCCGCCTCAGCCCGTCGCCTCCACGGCGGCTTCCCCGGGGCAGCTCTGAATGGCCAAGCAACTCCAACCCGAGCAGCCTCCCCCCCCCCCCCCCCCCCCCCCCCCCCCTTCCCGTCGCCTGCCTCAGTTCGGAGAGGCAAAAGAACTCCTTTCACGGCCTCCGCCGTTCTCTTCTGGGCTCTCATTGGCCGCCTCAAGAAGCGGCCCCTCCCGATTGGATAGCCGCGAAAACGGCAGGATATCCGCATCCGCCCCGCTTTAAAGCCTGTTCCTTCGCTTCTGTGTGGTGTTTTTTTTTTTTTTTTTTAAACGAAGGGACCCATCCCGTCGCTTTTCCTCGCCCACCAATCGGCTTCCACTTCCTACTTCCACGGAGGAGAAGTGGGACGCATGCGTGCAAGCGAACCTGGAAACCGGGCTGATCACCTTTTTTACGTGTCTCGTAGATCTTGGTGGGACGGAAGATCCTCCTCATAAGGTTCTCGGTGCTCTCTGAAACTGGGTGGTTGGCTTTGTACACGCGTTTTGCTTACCCGGCTTAGTTAATAAAACGCTTGCAAGCAAACTCCCAGGCTGGACAGGATCAAGGACTCCACACTTCGACCCTGATCTATAGCGATTTTGGGTCTTCCAACTTGACAGCTTTAAGACTTGTGGACTTCAACTCCCAGAATTCCTGAGCTAACATGACTGGAGGAGGAATTCTGGGAGTTGAAGTCCACAGGTCTTAAAAGCTGTCAAGTTTGAAGACCCGTTCTATTGGATCCCTTTTCTAATCTTGTAACAATCCCACCTCCTCTGTTTAGCCAATGAGAGTTGTGATTTTTTTTCCCCCAGCTATAATCGGTCTTAAATTTCTAGATTATTATTTTTTTGACAGATCCCACAAATGTACTTGGGAGTTGTGGAAGGAGAGGATTGTGGACGCACTATCAAGTGTGGCTGTGACTTGATTTTTTTTGTTCTCCTCCGCCCTTTTAACTTTCATTCAGGTGGGAAGAATGACAAAAAGTTATAAATCAGCTCACAAGAAACCAGACTAGTCTCAATAACAGCTGGCCAATCAGTCTGAAATCAGACCATGACTCAGAAGTATCCGAACAAACAACATTCATACTCTTCATTGCATCACATAAAAAGGTATTTAAAGGCCTGTGTTCTGACACACAAGCACAATTCAAAGCGCACTGACGATGTCTCCTCAAATGGTGATGAAATGTTGGCAACCCAATTGCCAAGCGCGGTGCTCGAACCAACTAGCCCAACAATGCGCAGATTCGAACCTTGGCCTTTAGGACCAGCAGACTTGACTGGGGCTCAGGAGCTAAACAGGACCAGTCCTGATTGGATGAGAAGCTTCCAGGAAATTCAGGGCTAGAATGTAGGCAGAGAAAATGAAAAGAACAATCTGGAAAGAAGGCAGACGCAAGCCAGTCTCATCTTGTTACGGAATAATTTGTATGAGTATACTACCAGGAGTCACACTTTAAAGCTTTGTAGGCTCTAGCATCTCCCTGTCTAGAACATCAAAGCCATTCCAGAAAGCTACAGAAAAGCCAAGTGAGCACATTTCAGGATAAAATGAAACATGCTACCCAGGCCGACATTTCAGGAGGCATCCTTACCCAGAAAGCAAGACAAAGAAGCAGGTATGGTACAGATAATCCCTAACCAATTGCACACTTTCTTAAATTTTATTAACAAACAGTCGCACAAGGTTTGGCTACTTCCCAAGTGGATTACTGGAATACACTGTATATGGGGGCCCTTAAAGAACATCCAGAATCTCTTGTTCAACTGCTATTTGTTAAAGTCAGCTCTCTTAAAGTCTAAAACACTAGTCTGACTAGTTATCTGTAGTTGCATTATGGTGAATTCAAGTATGACATGGTCACTTTCTCCAGAGTTCCTATCAATCATTTCATCCCTATTAGTATAGCTGCCCTCTCATTTCCTCCTCTATCTTTTGTATGACTGTTGTCAGTTAACCATGTCAGGAACCTGCAGGATCCAGTCTGGGTCAGTTACCAGGACCAGAGGTTTACTCTTCCAAGCTTTTGGATTGGTGCTGGAGCCCATCCTTGGGAAATTCAAGTTCCAGCACAAGTCCTAAAGCTTGGAAGACTGACAATTGGATCCTGGTGACTGACCCAGATTGGATCCTGGAACATTATCCCGGGACATGTATATGTGCCTTTAGTCATGTCAGGAACTTGTTTGATGTCACATTCCCTGCAGAGTTAATATCAGAGTAATTAAAAGTCCCCCATCCTCCAGAGCCACAGTGGTGCAGTGATTAGAATGCAGTACGGCAAGCTACTTCTGCTGACCACCGGCTGCCAGCAATTTGGCAGTTTGATTCTCATCGGCTCAAGGTTGACTCAGCCTTCCATCCTTCTAAGGTCGGTAAAATGAGGAGCCAGATTGTTGGGGGCAAAATGCTGACTCTGTAAACTGCTTAGAGAGGGCTCTCTAAGCAGTTTACAGCTTAGATTGTATCCTTACGATTTATATTGACTGTTTCCTAGCATGATTTGATTGCTTATTGTACCCTATGACTATTATTAAGTGTTGTACCTATGGTTCTTGACTCGATGAATGTATCTTTTTTTATGTACATTGAAAGCATTTGCACCAAGACAAATTCCTTGTGTGTCCAATCACACTTGGCCAATAAAGAATTCTATTCTATTCTATAAAACATTGTCAAGCGGCATATAAGTCTAAGTGCTATTGCTATTACTACAGTGGTGTGTTTCCTGCACACCTCAGTTAACTGATTAGCAAAGAGCTCGTCTATTTCTTCCAACTGGACTCCAATGAGAGGACAGTTCCTAAGAGACAAATATGATATAAAAACAATAGTGTGACTGAAATCCATGTTTTAAGAGGTACAATATTTATTTGTCAAATCTATGCAACATATCAGTATTTCTGCCAGATTAGTCATTGAAGAATTATTTTTAATATTCAACTCTAGTCTTTAGCCAGTAGAAGCAATGCAACAAATGGGGGGAAAGGTTTGTATTTGAGGCCTATATGCAGATCAATCTATGTTATATGCTATCACAATTAACTTCTCATAGCATTCCCAATAGAAAGTTACCTTTTCACCCAAACTTGTTATTTTTTAAATTTATATTTAATTTTGAAGAGACCAACAGCATGCCTTACAAAGAAGTAGAATTTCTAATATATTAATATTAGTTTGCAATAGAGAAATACTTAGGCTGTGAACAGTTTGCTTTAGGTTTCTAGAACAATTCAGAAGAAAACAAAATACTAATCTTGGAATGCACATTTCTGTTGCAGTGCTTGAGATAGCAGTAATTACTTCAAAGAAAGAAGTTTGAATTGGAAATGAGTTATTTTATTAAAATGCTATTTGCATTAATTCATTGCATTTTCTACTATAACATGCAGCATAATGTAAGTATGCAGTAAAATTACAGTGGATCTAATGATCAATTTGAAATATATGCACATGCCTCTATCCCCTCATCTTTGAGCAATATTCTTTTCTCTGGACTAGTATTAAGCAAATAAAATAAAAGATATCCACACAAATAAATAAATCTTAATTTATTCTACTATTTCCAAGTAAGGAACCCTGTTTTTCCAGGATCTCTGGCTCGGTTTCCCTTAAATCCAACAGACTGTCCAGAGCGACTTCGCAAATCACGATCTGACATTTCACTTTGTGCCATCTCTTCATCATATCTAAGGGAAGAGAGATAAACATCAATGTCTGATTTGGATCAAAGGGGTGGAATTTTTCTTGAGTTGAATTGCAACAACTGCCAGATGAAGAAATTGTAGACATGAGTGTTCCACCATTTAAAAGGCAGGAGAAAACTCCTTAATACAGAACATCAGATGAAGAAAACAGCTTGTTCTTTTATTTTCTTAATGTAAAGCATGAAAAGTTTAAATGTATCCACTTGAGGATATTTCAAAAATAATCCATATAATATAATCAATAAACTCTAAACTTTGGGGAAAACATTGGCTCTTATTCACAAAGTTAAGTGATAATCTATATACATGGCTGCAACTCTTTAGGTATACAGGCAGACCTCAACTTACAACCAATTTGTTTAGTGACCATTTGAAGTTACAACAGCACTGAAAAAAAGTGATGTTTGACCATTTTTCACACTTACAATCGTTGCAGCATCCCCATGGTCATGTGATCAACATTGGGATGATTGGCAACTGGCATATATTTATCTGGGATCATGTGATCACCATCTTTAATCTTCCCAGCCGGCTTCCAACAAGCAAAGTCAATGAAGGAAGCCAAATCCACTTAACGGCTGCTTAAAAACTGTGGGAAAAGGTTGTAAAATGAGACACAACTCACTTTGCTTAGCAACAAAAATGTTGGTGATTATCCTAAGTCAAAGACTACTTATATACACAAATACACGCACACATCCAAGCAAAATTATTTCCTTTCTTAAAAGTGAACAAAATGCTGTTCTGTGAAGCTATGTCCTTGTGATATCACTTCCATTATTAAAAACAAAGAATTTTCCATAATTCTTTTTCCTCTATTCTTAAACACTTACAAAATTTCATAATTCCCAAGAGCTTCTTTGGGAGGCGGTTTATTCCATTTACAATCAGGAATTTCTCCATTGGGCACAGCAATATTAAGTGTGTCATTTATCAGATTGTACTTGAGTATACGGTCATTTGCAGTACTGGAAGTAAGAGATGGGGAAGCATTAACCTATGAAGAATACAGGAAAGAGAAAACAGATAATTCATGGTCACCATTTGCTAAATAAATAACAGCTTATGAAACAAACTTGCACCAAAATTTCTACTTCAGATAAAATAGGGAGTGGTCTGGTAGCACTTTTTTTCTGATTAACAGATTTGCAGCTTACCAAATCTCCTACCTTCTAACAAACCTGTTAGTTGGAAAAAGTGCTACCAGGGTCTTCTGATTTTTGTTACCATGCACTAATATGCCTCTCTTCCTATTAAGTATACAGTAACTTAGATTTCTACACTGAACTTGGAATTTGGAATAAATAGCCTCTGGATCCAAATAGCCTTTGGATTCTAAGGGTGCAGGATTCTATCAGTAGTAATTCAGTGATTTAACACCTTCCATATTGATTCAATAAGGCTAATTACATGAAGCACTTAGAAAAGATTCTGAGTTAATTAAGAAAACATTAAATTGCAAGAGTAGAAATTGCTTGGGAAGTTATTTTTTATGATTTATAAGTGTTGCTCAAATAAGTACAAAATGGTGGGATTTCCTTTACAGATTTTGTTTTTGGGTTGGTTGATTGGTTTTGATTTTGCTTTCTATAACTTTCTAAACTGTCAACAATAAAAAAAAATCCTTTTTCTACAGTTCTGAAAAACAGCATTTTAAAGACAATGTTTATTTACCTCAATAAGCCATGGCTTAAGCTTGTCATCAATAATGATGTCATATCCGTAGCATTCAAAGCAATGTTTATCATTGTTCATCACAGGCTGTAAGTAAATGAATGATGAAAGTAAACATGAGAACAGGATGTGTGATCAAATCATCTTCATAGTGTATTGAAGACTAAATAATGTATGCAAGACATTTCAAATATAATCTGAATATTTAGAAAGACATGCAAATTTATCAATCATACTGTAGGTAATAATAAAGTCCTTAAATATAAAAAGGAAGAATATGAAGTCAAACAAAAGATTCACAATTTGTTTGTGAATAAATAAATAAAATGAAGGCCTACAATTCCAGAAGGCAGATTGTTCTATTGCTTAATATTTTTGCAGTTGTGAAATTCCTCCTTTTTTGCTCTTAGTAGAATACTTGTGATTGAATGTCTTATCTTTTCCTTATTTAAACGTTCTCAGGAAGGCTATCAAGTTTTATGTAACATATTTATTTTGAAGGCTAATACACTTGTCACTCCTAAAACAGATAAGTATATTGGTAGCTTTCTCCCATAATCTAATGATAAAATGGTTTAGATTCAATAACCATTCACCTTGAGCTATTTTTCTTAGAATTTGTATTTGTAACTATACATCCTTTGTACATCCTAAATATCATATTTTTCCAGATTTTATTTTTTTAGTTCATAAAGATAAGTGGAATGCATACCATAAAAATATTGTCCTATATGTATTTATCTGAGTATATTTGTGCATATATAAATGTACACAATATCTCCACCATCTAGTCTATGAATTAGGAGGAATATATCCAGTTTTAAGTATGTTTGACATTCCACATTGCAGAATAGCAGAACATGTAAAATAGTGGATCACAAAATATAAGGAATAAAAAAAATGTCAAACATTTATTATGGGACTTGTTCACATTTCAGTAACAAATATACTTTGTACAGTATAAGTAACTATTGGAAATAATCTAAATGGTCTTTTGTATTACTTAACTTTCCTTTATCATAAACTTGTTTTTCTACTCACCGCAACTGCTTTCAATGATTGTACAATTATCCAATGTATTTCATCAAACAGCTTGTTTGTGACATCTTTCCCTCGAGTGCTTTCTAGATATAAACGCAAATTATTGACTGTCCATTTGCCACCATGGATGTGGTTGTAATCATCCTACAAAGGTACATCAAATTATCAAATTTTACTTTCAAAAGACTTTTCAGAACCAGATGTCTTCATTAATTTGTGCACAAAAAGCAATCAACAAGAGACGTGTTAACTTGATGTAGGCTTTAATACATTTTTATCCTGCCAGGACACATTCTACAGACTTTTAATATTAAAGACAAGTTAAATTCCAAATTTAATGAACAAAATAATTAAAAGAAGATTTCAATCTATGTGGGTTAAAAAAATGTATGTTCTAGGAGAACAAAGGGCTATGTCAATTGTTCATTGCCTACTTATTTTAAAAAAAGAGCCTTATACTTTGAAAAATGGATTGTTATTTAAAATGTACAATAAAAAGCCAAAATAGAATACATTTCAAATAAAAAGAAAAACAAAAGAATAGCCAGTAATAAAATAGTCATGAGAATACAAAATGTTTCATCTTAAAAGGAAGGACTCAGAATTAAAAGACAAGGTTGTTAGAATAGAAGTCAACAAATGTACAAATGTATGTTATGTAAATATGCATTATATGTTATATACGATAGATATGTATGACAAACAGGATTGTCAGGACGATCACACCACATTCATTGTTTTTAATGCTTTATTCAATTAAAAAAAATAAAAAAATATTTCATCTTCATGATGATAATTTTGGCATTTAGAAATCTGTTTTCAGGCTGCAATTGGAAACAGCTGACTAAGGGATGAAGCATTTTGTAGTTTAGGGTTCATATGATAGGTTTAATCCTTTATATTCTAAAGTATCGCTTTATGGTTTTTGTATTCTTGTGAGTGGACTAAAGTCCCAGGAGGCAGCTGCATATAAATTATTATAAATAAATAAATATAGAATAGAATATTTTTTATTGGTCAAGTATGATTGGACACACAAGGAATTTCCTCCAGTGCTTCAGAATATTGCTGCCGATAGCGGCCTCAGTGAAATGCTCTCTAGTAGCTTTAGATGTTTTTTAATATTTTCTGTGACTCATTGCGAATTACATACACAAAGGATGAGATTCTGAATAAATAAATATATTTAAAATTATAAGTGAGCAACTTTATTTTTGTTATACATTTTAATTAATTCCAAATAATTCAGATCTACATTATAAAAGGAGCTTACCCCATTTTTCTGAATGGCAACATTTGTAAGATGGACAAACATGTTATCCAGTTCGCTTGTACTTGGGGTATATTTTACTGTGCAAAATCGGCAAAACCCAAGTTTATACCTTAAATATAAAGAAAAGATATTATCTTATAATTTAAATATTCTTAAAGAGACAGCTTCTTTGACAGCAGTTACTATGATCTTTCTTTTTTTCCCTATTTAATACAATTTTGTAACAGGTTTAACTTCATATAATTGATTTTCTATGCATAGGGGAGATTACTTATGTACCGTCCAATCAATTTTTTACTTTGATCTTTTTCTGAATACCTTATTACTATTTTAATCCTTATTCTATTGTTTCCTATTGTGTTGTTATTTTCAATTGCCTGACAGATGTTTTTATTTTGGAGTCCAATTCCAATTCAATAAGTAGTGAACCAAATATGGTTCAATACATAAAATGGAAATCCGGTACGATTTGTTAGAATTTAAATAGAAAAAGCACATAGAAAAGAATATTGGGAACTTCCGGTTTGTCGGCTTCGCGAGCGGCAGGGATTTGCGAAGCTGCGCGATCCCTGCCGCGCTAGCCGTTTTTGGGGCTCCGACCCAGACGGGTACGGAGCTAGGCTGCCCTGCAGGGGCAGCTGAAGGTAGGGGGGATCCGGAGAAGGGTTTGGGGGTGTTGCAGACTCCCTCCCTGGCCGGCAGAACTCCCTTTTCCCAGGACGGTGCAGCGGCGGTCTGTAATGGCCGCCACAAAGAAGCTGGCAGCCAGGTAAGAATGCGCAGGAGGAAGTGGAGAAAGTGATTGAGAGGAGAAAGTTTTTCTTGGCTCCTAGGACTCTAAGACATATTTAATAAAATTCCTGAAAAGTATGACTTTCTGAATAATACCTGCCAGAAGAGGAAAAAAGCGGCTGTTTGAAGGTGCTGAAAGGATAGCTTTCCCTCTTTTCCTACGGAATAAATAACTGGATATTAAGAAACCTATTTCTTTTAGGTGAAAATTGGTTTTAAGCGATGAGTGGGAAGAGAGAGGATTAAAAAGAAAATATTTGTATGCTAAGACTTTGTTGGAGCAGATGCCTTAAGGATTTGAAGACAAGAATATATTGCAATAAGATTTTAAACAGATTTGGACTTTCTTTCTCTTGGATTGATATTACCCCAGAAGGAGAAAGTGAGAACTCTGCCTTGGTTTGGACTGACTGATAACTTTGGGACTGTTTTATTTTTTTTATTTTCTTTTGAATATTCTGGTTGTTGTAAGAAGAAAGAAGGGGAAAAGAAAAGAAAAGATTTATAATGGCTCTTTCTGTTGAGGAACTAAGAAAAGAATATGAACAAGCAAAAAAAATGGTAAAGATGGTGTGGAAGAAGCTTTCCTTTTCTTAGAAATGGCGCTTACTAATTATCAACAAACATTACAACAGATGAAGACAGCAGAGGAACAAGAAAGAAAGGAAGAGAGAAGGCGGAGCCACGTCGCCGCGTTACAGCTGTAATTTCGGGGCTCCGAAGTTACAGCTGATATCTTCGCCCCTGGTCGGTCCTAACGGACCTAAACCGTCCCGTAGAGACGGTGATAGTAAGGGGCGCGTTCTGTCGATCACAGGGACACCGCAAGTCCCTGGTGGATCCAGAAGAAGCCCCTTTACCATCGGCGGAGAGGCAGCCTTTAAGCTGCTGAAGCAGGGACAGCTCCGGAAGGAAGAGAAGAAAGAAAGAGAAAGTGTATCGGCTGGTGAGATTTATTTTTTTTATTTGGGATAAGGACACCCTAGAAGAAGAAGGAATCTGTAAGATTTTTGACAGAATTTGATAAGATGGACTTAGTGGCGATTTTTTAGAAGATGTCAAAATGAGGTTTGGCTTTTTACTTTTTTTTTTTCTAGCGAACTTTTATTGTGATTAGTAATTGTAACCAGACTGGTTTTGTTTTGTTTTTTTCTATAATTACCTTTCCTTTTTGACTGTTTATATTTTTAATAGAGGCTTCCTTTAGTGATTTTTTCTTTTTTTTAAATATACACATATATATATACATATTTTCTTTTTCTATTGGTTTTTTTTTGGGGAGGAAGAAGGGGGAGTGGAGTTGAGAAACTTTGTAACTCTGCAACACTGCCAACTAGAGGCTTGAAAATACTTTACTTGAAGTTGAGAGAACTGTGAGAAACTCTCTCCCAAGGACACTGAGTTGATAAGATAGAGAGAGGAACTCTGGAGAATGTTTTCACAGGTGTCTCTTTGGGATTTCTACAATCAACTGAATGTTTGAAGCTTGGCTTTGAAACTTGTGGAGAAGCCATAATAAGAGCCTTGGATGTTTAAATAAAATGCAGTGTGATTTTTGCTTTACTTGTTGTTAGCTTTTATCCCTCCTCCTTAACCCTATAGTTTTTTGTAATATTTGTACACTTTTGCTTATTACTATTATTATTATTTTTCATTTTTTTTTCTCTAAAGGGAAAGCCTCAGAATATTGTTTCTTTTTTCCTTTTTTTTTTCTTTTTTGGGGGGGACTTTTGTTTTTTTTATCTTTGTATGTATATACTCTTTTTTTTGTGGCCATGTTTTTTTTTTTCTTGAGATTTCGCAATTGGATTAAGGTGTGAAGAACCTGAAGAATTTTTCTTTTCTTTTCCTTTTATTATTATTGTTATTTTTTTTAATATTATTGGGTTTTATTCTCCTTTTGACTATTGCAACTGAGGATTAAGGTCTAGAAGAACCTGAAGAAAGAAATTTTTCTGGTGGCAATTTTTCTTTTTTCCTTGAAATTTTTTTTCCTTTTTAAATTTTGGGCTTTTTGGTTTTTTTTTACTGATTTTTCTTTTTTACGTTTTTCCTTTCTCTAATTGGATTATAATTGTTACACTGCCAACTGGATAAAAAGAGTGGGAAGATTCTGAGCTATTCAAATGAGTAAGAAAGTTCTACCTTCTGGCGCATCAACTTCTGCTCCTGCCTCCCCATCAACTGGAGGACGACTTTCAACAATGGCGAAGCAAGATAAAGGACAAACGGATCTAACGACGGTTATGCAAGGAATTCAAGAACTTAAAATGAGTATTGAACAAAGGATGGGGAGTATTGAACAAAAAATTGAAAATATCCAACAGATGATGGCGAAGTATGATGAGAAACTACAAAAAATGGAAGAGAAAGACAATCAAAGAGATGAGAAATTGCAAAAATTAGAAGAGAAAGACAATCAAAGAGATGAGAAAATTGGAAATATTGATGACAGAGTGACAACGCTTGAACAAAACAAGAATGAGATGGTGAAGTGGGAGATGGACAGATCAGAATATTACCTCAGATTTCAAAATATAGAGGAAGAAAAAGGACAAGATCTTGCTGCAGTAATGATAGAAATCTTGGCTGGAGCTTTGGAAATAACAGAGGAAAAAATGATGGATGGAATAGATGAGATATACCGAGTTTTTACAAGATATGCATCGAGGAATAAGTTACCAAGAGAAGTTCATGTTAGATTTACTAAAAAATCTATCAGAACGCAGATATTACAAGCGGCAAGAGAGAAGACATTGAAATATGGAGATAAAGAGATTGGGGTTTTAAAACAAGTACCCAGAAAAATTAGAGAGATGAGGAGAGAATATCGTTTCCTGACTAAAGTATTATTGGAAAAGGAGGTGAATTACAGATGGTTGATTCCAGAAGGATTAATGGTTACATGGAAAGAACAGAGATACAGAATTGGCTCAATTGATGAAGCAGAATCGTTTTATAAGGAATTTTTTAAAAGAAGAGAAACAGAGATAGAAGAAGACACTACCTTAACTGAATTTCAAGAGGACCAAATAGAGATGGGAAAAGAAGAAGGTGCAGTAGGTGGACAAGTGGAGACTAAAGATCAACGTGAAGTAAGATCAACGAGAGCCGTTAGACCTAAATATAAATCATAACTATGGAGGAAAAAAAATTGATTTCTTTGAATATAAATGGGCTGAATTCAGCTACTAAAAGAAGGAAAATTTTTCATAAAATAGAGAAATTAAAATTTGATATAATTTGTTTACAAGAAGTACACATTAAAAAACAACATCAACAATTATTGGTGCGACCAAAAATAGGGAAAATTTTTACTTCTTTGGCCCAGTGTAAGAAAAGAGGAGTGGTATTGTATATTAAAGAAACCATTTCAGCAAAATTGATTTATACTGATGAAGATGGAAGAGTATTAATGGTTGAAATAGTGGATAACAATACAAAGATACTTTTGGTTGCAATCTATGCTCCGAATGATAAACAAAAAAGATTCTATAAAAAGTTACATATGAAAATAATTGAACTGGACTACGCTAATATATTTATAATGGGAGATTTTAATGGAATTGTAGACAATGAATTGGATTACACAGCAAAAATAACACGACAAAATAGGAAGATCCTCCCTAAATCCTTTTTTTGAAATGATAGAGGAATTAAATCTAAAAGATATATGGAGAGAAAGAAATACTAAAACTCAACAATATACTTTCTACTCGAATAGACATTCATCATGGTCCAGAATAGATATGATCTGGACGTCAACAGAATTATTATCTAATATTCAAGAAATAAATATTGAAACAAGTACATGGGCAGATCACAACCCAATGACAATTAAATGGAAAGGACAAAAAAGAAGATCTAGATGGACATTAAATAATACTATTTTAAAGGAAAAAGATTTTATACAGTGGATGGAAAAAGAACTGGCCTTCTTTTTTAATGAAAACAGAAAAGAAGATACTTCAATACAGAATGTTTGGGACACAATGAAGGCATATGCAAGAGGATTGATAATGGAATACATAAAGAAAAAAAATATTAGAAAGAGGCAAATGATTAAAACTTTAGAAGATGATTATAAAAAATTGGAAAAAGAATTACAGAGAATGCCACAGAAAAAAGATATTAAATTTAAAATGGATATAATTAAACATAAAATGGATCAAACAGAGAAAGAAGAACTGGCGCAAAAAATTAGAAGTGCTAAACAGAACTATTTTGAGGATGCAAACAGGCCAGGTAGATGGTTAGCATACAAACTGAGAAAAGAGAAAGAATCAAGGAGAATACCACAGTTAATGGATGAACAGG